ATGATACGTCGTGGTGGCGCGGCGGTTAGAGGGTAGGAAAACATAGGTAAAGATTGTTGGATCAATCCCCCTTAGAGCCCGTCTAGATTTTTCTTCTATTAAGACACAAGGTTAGGGTTATATTGGATAAATACTTCACGTAGAAGTCAGACCAGACGGCTCAGTGGTAGAGTGTTGGTCTGGAAATCCAACGATGCGGGTTTGAACCCTGAGGTGGGCAGAATTTCGAGTCGAATATCATACAACTAATTTTACATTATTTAGAACTAAAGGTTACAGTTATAATGGATAAAAATTCCAAGTTTGTGTTGGACTGGATGGCTCAGTGGTAGAGCGTCGGGAGAACACGGTTGAAATAACGTCAGCCATAGAATGGACTAACATCCTCTAGAAACTTAGGTGGGTTCGAACCCCACGGGGAAATCTAGTTGTGAAAGATTTTCCATAGTGGGCACTCAAAACCACTAGAATCTGCTTTGGACGTCTAAAATACTTTAAAACCGAAAGTTGGGTTTGAGTGGGAATCGAACCCGGGTCGTTTGAACGATAGAAAAATGTAGGGAGGGATGAACAACTCTACGACCACGGCCAAAATAGGTGGGATTTAAACTGGTGTTCGTAAGTAATATTTAAAGTTCAAAGTCACAGCCTACTATAGTAGTAAAATAGTAAGTATCTTCCTCTCTCCTTTAGAATCTTGGAGGGACCCGGGCACCAGTTTGCCCCTCGGCTCCCCTCCTTGTCTCTCGTTCTTCAGCTTTGCCCCTCGTTCTATCTATTGGTAGTGTCTTGCCTGCGGCAGGCCCAACGTGTCAACTGACATCTTACCTCTAGAGAACTCGAGTCCCTCATATTAGAATGAGAGAGAGAACATGAGACAGTGGCTAAAAGCCTCTGGAGATTTACCTGGGCTCGAACCCTCGCCGTCGAAACAGAGTTCTAGCCCAAGTCCACCATCCATCCATCTAGGCCATAGAGACCCGTTAGCAAACCACGAAATTTTAGCTCTTTTAAATGATTGTGAATCATTTATTAGATCAAAATAGTGATTTTATCGTAGTCGGCTTCAGTGGGATACGATCCCGGTTCTTCGTGATATCAAGCTACTGCTCTAACCACAGGGCTACGGCGGACACAGCTTCAACTGGCGAAATAAACGATTTTATATGTGAACTTTTATAATAAATTGTCAAAATCGTGTATTAGTTGCCCCGGTAGAGATTCGTAACCTTGATATCAAGTTCGCCGACCGAGCACTTTGTCCACTGTGCTAACGAGACGACGAGAGAAACTTGCTTATTTATCTATATAGCTCTACAACCAGTAGAGTAAACGCAACGTCAAAATAAATGAATCTTGTCCAGCGTTCGATCCACATTGTTTTACTCAACGGCCATACGCTCTAACCACTGAGCCACGGAGACAGACAAGATGAAGTGTTATTTTGTCTATATAGTTAAAGCCCTTATCAAATATTTAATAAAAATATACTCGACGTGGGATTCGAACCCTCGATCTTCATTTCATATAAAGATCGTACTGTCGAGTCGACTGAGCCACTGTGACATGTACATATGACCGCCCAATCAGTATACTAAACTCTTTTTCTTAGTTCTGCAATGCAATATCACTGTCTGTCTTGATATAGACTTTTAATCTTAGCAGTCATTCAGCCAAGTGCGATG